AATGTATATTGTGTGTCGAAGAATACGAGATTTATTATTAGACAATGGTAAGTTGAATCCCTATGGTTATTACTATTATTTATAAATTTATAAACATTACTATTACTAGATATTTAGTGTTTATTATTTCTACTTGGTGATATGAAAAAGGACCTAAAGATCTGACTGGATGACGATTATTTTTACCAAGAAATTATTTTCAGTTTCACTTGTCGTCATCATGATGATGATGGCCAGGTAATCAGAGGGTATATTTGCACGTGGAATGTGATCGCAGATTCTAAATCGAAACTCGGAATATATCGAGAAAGGAATATCCTTTCTTCAAACGGACTCATAATTCATGATATAGAAATATTTTGAAATTCTAAACCACAAGATGTCCTGTTTCAATAATGTTCTTATAGAAAGGCGTGAATTACACTGTACTTTATTAGGGGTCTTCATAGACTTCATACGGGAGAGGATAAAGGACGCCCTGGATACAAAACTACGACCAGAACAAGCTGGATTCAGGAAAGGCAAATCATGTACTGATTAAATTGCGATTCTACACGTCATCATCATCACAGAAAAAAGTATGGAATGGCAATCAAACCTCCACCTCAAGTTTATAGACTTCGAGAAGGCCTTCGACAGCGATGACCGCGAAGTAATTTAGAAACTACTCGAGTACTACGGCGTACCCCAAATATTCATCAACCTCATTCAACAGCTGTACGACAACGGAACATGTCAAGTGATCCACAACGGAAAACTCAGCCAGGCGTTTGGAGTAAACAGAGGAATCAGACACCAATGACATTTCTAATTGTGGTGGACTGATTGGATTATGCGTCAAACAGTGAGTGGGAAACAAGAAACGGGACAGGGATATCCTGGACCGAAGCGAAGAACCTGGAAGACCTGGATTTCGCGCGGCGATGATTTATGTTTGATGTCACACAAAATCGAAGACTTACAAGCGAAAACCGACAAACTGGTCGAAGAAGCAGCCAGCGAAGACCGGACTCCAAGTGAACATAGACAAGACGGAGGTTGTGAAAATAACCAACAACAACAACAACAGAAACATCCAGCGCCAATCACCATCCACGGGAGGGATTTGAAAGAGGTTACTTCATTCACTCACTTATCTAGGGAGGGAGCATTGTCTCAACTACAGACCGTCGGAACGGACGAGGATGTCAAATCGAGCGAGAATCGGGAAGGCAGGCAGGCGAGAAATACATTCATTCGTCAACCTGAAACAGTCAATCTGGAAATCTTCGTCACTCAGCCAGAATCAACAACAAAATTCGCTCGGATTTTAAATACAAACGTAAAGTCGGTCAGTTCTGCTAGACGGATCAGAAACCTGGCGGGCGAGTCACGAAGAATATTTCCAACAGCTTGTTGCAGGCCTTTATCAACCAACAACTGTCTTCGCTGGCTCTATACTGAAGATCAGATGGCCAGCCGGGCCGGACAGAATCACAAAAACGAAACTATGGGAACAAGCAAAACAAGAATGAAACAATCGCCAATCAACAAATATGCAGGAGAAAGTGGAGATGAATTGAACACTCGCTCGCTGAGGAGGCCGGTTGGTGACATCGCGCGCGCGTCAGGCCATTGCTCGAGTGGAACCAGGCCGAAAGGGAAGCAAGCGGTGAGTGGGACGTCAGAGCAAGGTTGACATGGAGGAAATCGTGTGAAGAGGAGTTGAAACAGTATGGACTAACATGGACGCAGGTGAAATGTACAGCAGAAGGAAGACAGAAGTGGCAAGTGGAGACGTGCAGTTGAAGCCCTATGTTCCATTAGGAACCCAAAAGAGCAATAATAATAATAATCAATGCCTTATTGAAATTTATTAAAGGGACTTATTATTTTATTGTTCTTACTTCGCTGTGTGGGCAGCTATGCCTGTTTCTATGTTTGTGTGTGTGTGTGTGTGTGTGAATGTGCGCTATGAGATCATAAGGAGAAATTAAATCAATGTACTTTTTCATTAGCCTGTTTATCTACTCCACATTGCTGTATACACACTGTTTATTTATATTATAAGCAAGTATTGATTATTTTTAACGCTTAGTCATCATCTTCTATCTAACATGTCGATTTGAAAGTGTTAAAACGTTTACTTCCCACATTGTGTTTATGTACACTTTTGTTTCCAACGTCTAATCAAAAAGAAATTGTTTGGTTTATGATAAAAATGTTGTTTTTTCTATTTTCAATCAGTTACTATGGTTTCTCACTCATTCTTGTTGGAAAACAGTCAACATGATATCACAGATAAATAAACTAAGTGACACAAAGATGAAGCAACAGTCACAAGGAATCGTTGTCAAATACAAAGTCGATTCGAGCAAGTCAATGAATCCAAATATCTTGAAATAAAAGACGAATCTATAAAAGAAAGAAAACAGAATAGATTGTTATTTTTCATTAGAATAGAAAAAGAAGTTGGACATTTCGTTCGACTTTACTTATCATAGACAGAAGAAGTAGTATTTTAAATTCAATTGTGGGAACAAAAATGGAACTTGATGATATTAGATGGTCGGAGGCAGTCGGCAGGAAGCCTGGCTTCACCTCGATTCGGTGCTAGTTGGCGCTCACAACAGTCAGCAAGGCGTATCTGCAATCTTTGAGAATGTCGTGTCCCTTCTGAGATTCGAACTCGTGTCAGCCGCGGTTGCAGTCAAAGACTTTGCTACTGATCTATTCAGGCTCACGATTGACCTCCTGTTGGTAGTTCCGATAAAAACCTTTTAGATAGCATTAATAAAAATTGGAGTTGACTATCATACTTTTGCTTAGACAACTTAGACTAAAAGATTTTCTCTGAGTATAAGAGAATGAATGACTTGACAATATAATAATAATAATAGTAGCAAGCAGATGAACCACCCCCGTCTCTTTGCATACTGTAAGCGTTTAGTATTCACAAGACTTTATTTTGTCTCTCTAGCAATTTTAAAAGAGGCTAAAGGGGCATAATAATCTCTGAAAGATGTGGGATTTCCGTGTGATGCACGTGTGATGTACGTTCGACATATCAATGATAGACACACCATCATTAACAACAACTTTTAAAAAAACTATACTTGAATACACCTTAAAACAATCTGTCCATAAATATCCACCCACCCACCCACTACTACTAATCACAATCCCGGACACTTTGTATGCGATTTCAAACAATATACTACCTTATTGTTCATATATTACAAGATTGGGTGGGATTCTAATTTGAGATCTGTCATGACGAGGTGTTACTGCGTTGTGAATTCATTAAACCTGAATAGTATGCGCCTCGAGAACACGATACTGTAGTGTTAACTGACCATTTAGAATTATCTCCCACACTGAGATAGACACAAATGTCAGACTGCGGTAATAATGACGATCGGAATGACAACGACAACTTTTATTAGACAAAATACATGTCATATTATTATATTTACCAAACATTCAAGAATTTAAGCCATAAACAAAACATTTCAACATTTCAACTGTGGTTCAAATTATATAGGGCGCACGAGTAGGCAGGTTCGTCTACGGGTTCGAGAACACTTATCAGCTTGGTTCAGCAAGGCGGAAATTAAGTGCATAAGAAGCTCGATCCTGTCACACTTGGTCGATACTGGACATCGTATCGATGTGAACACAGCTTCCAGGGTTATATACCGAATTCCCAAGTCGTTATCACGTACAGTTCGCTTACGTCTCCTACACATAGCTGGAGCTGTTTCAATAAGATCGACTAAACCGGAACTTTGTATCCACAAAGAACACGTCCAGACGCTGTTCCTAACGTGGCCAAACTTGGATTGATGATTTTTCTTCTCACCAAGAGTGCTCCTCCCCTTAACCCTCTCAGTGTTTTTTACTTTGCTTATTATTACAAATATGATTATTATTATTATTATTATTACAGTTATTATTATTATTCGTCATAATTTATGCTCAATACTATCGAATTTTTCATTTATACGGACTTAGAATTAGTGATATTATCTGTTTTCTCAATATGAGCCTCCACCTGTTTCATTTAACATATTCATTATCTCATTATGAACCTCTCATTGCAGTCTTACTATCTCCTGTTTAACACAGACCACTTTGTACTAGCCACTCACTCACCTGACACCTTCTATGACCTTGAACTGGATTCGTCAATTTTCCTACCCCACACTCTACAAATCTATTATGACTAATCATCACCACCACTGTCCCCCGTTTTACAATATTTTCTAATCGATTTCAGCCTAGCATGTTTGTCACACTCAAATACGACTATTTATTTTGACACCCACTAGCTGTTAATCTGTTATTCTACGTTAAAAATGTCTCCTCCGCCGCATAACTGGCCTTTATTGTGCGTCGGTGACACAGTGGTTAGGAATCTCGCCGACCATGCACATGGTCCGAGGTTCGATTCCCTCCCGACGCACACTTCATATCTATGGTCGGCCTTCAAAATTTGGGCTACCGATATTCATCCTGAAAATTCCATACTTGCTCCAAAAATACAGTGTAGAATCAAGCTGTTATCAAAAATAAATAATAAAAATAAAATAAATATATTTTATAATTGTAAGAACCTGAAGAGAAATTATTCAAAAGAATATTCTTCGTTCAGATTGACTTTCAATTCAATTCATAAACAAAACAGACTACATTTGTTATATGACATAGAAATCCCCCAGAAAACTCAGCCATCGATTAACGAATCAAAACTATCCAATAACGTAATTATGTCAGTACATGCATAAATCACGACTTGTCGATATTATGTGGTTGGAGGCAGTCGGCAGGAAGCCTGGCTTCACCTAGATTTCGTGCTAGTTGGAACTCATCAACGAGCCAACTGGCATGGTGGTCACATTGCGAAATTGGCTGATAGAATTCAGTTTTCAGTAGACAAAAGACTAGACACATGACACTAGTGTCAGTGTCCTAGGAAATATACACCCCATGCATTAATTACCAATATTATTTATACTTACCCTTTTAAGGAAATTTGACATTTCACCTGTTAATTGTGCTACCTGTTGTTCAATAAGTAATTCACATGTATATTTCAATTGACTATCCAACTGACGCCTAGAATCCACTTCAATATCAATTGCATTTGGAGTTTCCAACAAAAATCTCAATAAGGCATTCTCTCGACTTAGTGAAAACAAACCACTTCCTCTATGTTCCCAAATATGACGTGCAACATCTGTAAATAAGTTAAATAATTGAACAAAATAAGAATTTATATACAAACTGAATTGGATAGTGTGAAGAAATATTTTTAGTAAATACAGTTCGTGTGTATTAGTGGTATTTTTTAGAATTAGTTAGCTAGTTAGTTAGTAATTGCAGAAGATATCATGACCTGGATGTTCAAATATCGCGAGAATTAGCTCCAGTTGTTGAAAGTATATCCACTGCCTAAATCTCAGCGATGTGAAACACAAATATCTTTATCATAGTCACCATGAAATAGGCATTTATTACAGTTAGATACAGTCAACAGACAATAAGCATTTAGCGAAATTCCGGTGTAGTCATGTTAAACAACCCAAGAATGGCATACGAGAACGAAATAAATTCTGAAGGCCTAAGTGACTGAGCGGTTTCCACATAGAAATTTATGCGAATGTGCAGCAGTTTGAGTTGCTTTTGATTATAGCTTGATTCCAAACCGTATATTTGGTACAAGTATGAGATTTTCAGCATACGATATCGCTAACGCAAATTTTCCAGGCCGGCCATTGATATCAGGTGTGCGTTGGCAGCGAATCGAACCCAGGCCATGTGCATGGTCGGCGAGAGTCCTAACCACTGGGCCACCGACACACAATGACAGTCAGTTGACCATATCATTTCTCAGATTTAAAGAAATAGTATTTGCATTCGCTACTGTTCCCACATACTCAATAAGTGACATTGTAGATCAACAATGCACCTGAGGCATTGAGAACGATTTTGAGCCACATCCCCAATTGTCTCCAGCCTTCATTGGTTCCTACCATCTCGATGACCCCAACCAGTCAACTAGGAAGTCTACACCTCCCTATGTGACTGGCTGGCTGGCTGGCTGCCTTAAATCAACTGTTGTGGATTTCTTCATTGACTGATGAAACCGTGTTTTGGTTTGACCACCACTAGCTCTTTTCCTCAAAGTTCGTAAGAAGTGTCAACCTACATGGATTAACTAACTACATGTATGTGTGTGTGTGTCTTTACCACCCGGCTGATCACTTTCAAAGTTCTGTGTTGAAGCCAGTCAATCAGTCAGGCGCCGTCAATATCCAGAAGACAAAAAATGTAAAAATCACAGGATTGTTTCGAAAGCACAAGGCAGTTAAATATTAATAATAAGTGGAACGAAGTGGAAGACATTGCACAAAAGTCCAAGTAATTGGTGTAGAAGTTGTGAAAATATCTGAAGAAGGTAGACTCCATGGAAAATGAGAAGGCAGTAAGTAGTTGGGACTAGCCAATTTCCCTCACTATTCCTTATTCAACCTGAACTACAACTTTGTCAATGATTTTAGGAAAAGATGTTATACTACTCACCAATAATAAGTAGTTTTAAAATATGCATGACAATATTATTATTATTATTATTTTCATCCTCGACAGCATCTCCCAGTATGGCTATGTAAAATTGTAGTGAAAAACAACGGGTATCAAAGAAACCACGAAAAACATCGAGGTGCGGCATGCTCCAAACAGCAGAGGCTATCGCGGTTCGCATGAAACAGTATGTGCTTTGTGTGCAAAAGAAGCAAGCCCATCTAGCCAATATTACTGCCCTGGCCAGACTTTAGTAGAGACTATAACTTCATGAATTTGTGTGATCGTTATCTTTCCTAACCCTTCTGATATTCAGTGTATTGTCATATTGATGCTATTGAGCTGTAATCTATTGTTATTATCGATTCGATGTTATTTTAACAGCATAATGTTGTTAATAACACGAATTCCTTCATACACTATATTGTGTGTGTGTATAGAACAGTAGAACCTGACGATGAAGTTAACGAAAAGCGTATTCTTTGTTCAGTAACCATTCTTCAGAAAATTTTAATGGACATTTTTAATCAGTTCAAATACAATTTACGTTACTCATTGGAGGTAATTAGCATAAATTTTGATGCAGTAGAAGGCATGACAAGAGGAAAATAGGAAAGAAAGCAACAGTGTAATTACCTAAAATATTGGAAACATTTATTGCAGTTTTCTTTTACTTTTGTTATAATAATGCGCATTAATACTCAGTTACCATCATTGCCTTGTGAAGTTAGGACGCTGGAAGCGTTTAGTTTGAGTTTATGTCTATGATGCAGTAGTGTCGTCTTTAACTCTGTATTCTCCGCTGATTCTCGATTTCTTTGGCCTCACTTATCATCTAGATTACTGTCTTAGAAGTAGGATCCGACTTGGGGAGGTGAACAAGTTGTAAGAGATCTTGGTCCAAAACGTTTACTGCATATGCGACCTCTAGTAGTTCGGCCTCATTTTCTGAACTCAACAAGAAGTCAACTATTACATTTTTTCCTGGAATATGTCTAATCCTAAAATCATACTCTTGTAGGCGTGGCATTCATCGTGACAACTTCCCTCGAGGGTCCGTCGCTGTATTCGGCCACTGTAGAGGTTTTTGGTCAGTCTCAATGTGGAATCGGTGGCCGATCACGTACATTCTCTATTTTTCTAGTGCCCACACAACAGCTAGACACTCGTTTCCTTTTCCAACGTAGAATGCTTTTGCTCTGCAGGTGTTAACACACGGCTACCCCGTCCGTTTGTCTTAAAACAACACCTAAACCATAATCACTCGTATCTGTCGAAACTGTCAACTGCTTCCCAGGTACTGGCAATTTCAATGTCATCTGTTGACCATCTGACAGCTCTTCAATTCGATTAAACGTTTGCCGCGCCCCAGTCGTCCACGTGAATTTCGCGTTACTCAACAACCTATATAGTGGCCTCGCCATCTCGCTGAAATTTTTGACAAACCGGCTGTAGAATGCCACTCTTCTCAAAAACTGTCTCAGCCTTCGTTTCGAATATGGTACTTCACTGGTTTTGACGGTCAGGATTTTCTCAGGCAATGGTCGTATTTCCCCATTTCTCACTCTATAACCCAGGAGGACAACAGTCTTTTTGGCTATTTGTGACTTGCTCTTATTAATATGCAGCCAGAATTCATCAATTCTCTTCAAGATGGCTTCGATTTGGTCTAGATGATGGCCTCCTCTCTCACTACACACAACCAAGTCATCTCCATATACTCCTACGTCCTTCAGACCCTTCAGTAATAAGGTCATTAATCTTCTGAACATAAATGGGGCGCCTACCAATCCAAACGGTATTCGTCTAAACTGGTATTGTTTCCGTCCAACCGTGAACACTGTTTCGCTTCGGTCACTTTCTGTTATTGGGATCTGCCAGTAACCCCATCTTAGTTAGAAAACGGTGAATAACTTAGCCTTCTGAAGGCGATCAAGGGTTTCTGTTACGATTGATAATGCACACTGCTTTACTTCAATGAGGCTATACAGCTATCTGAAATCGACACAAAATCTATACTTTCCGTTAGCCTTCTTTACCAAAAGGATCGGAGAACTATACGGGCTATCGGCTTCTTCTATTATTCCGTCACTTAGCATTTTTTTGACTTGTCAGTTAACTTCTTCTTCTTCTAGGTGCACAGGAACTCGTTGTGCTGAGAAAGCTGCCTTCCCCGGGTCCTTCAGTGGGATGTCATGCTTTACCTCATCACAACATCCGTAGGGTTTTCCATCTCCAGTGAATAAGCACGCATATTCACTCAACAAAATGATTACATTTGGTGCTTCTTTCGGAACAAGCATTGTGGCTTCTTCCTCAGCAACTTCACTGTTCTCATGCATCACAAACTGCCCATGGTTTCTGATCACCTCCGATTCTTAACATCGACTACAGCGCCTACTTCTCTGAGGAAGTTCGCCGTATATTTGACGTTACAATGAACGGATATCGCATTTCCTTTGCTCCGGTCTCTACAACGCAGTCGGAAACACCAAGAATCTGTAAAGAATTTTCCCCTACCGTCTCAACCGCTAATGTGCACGCCCTTGCTTCCTCACACTGTTCTCTACCTACGAAAGAAACTGCTGCCTGTGTGTCAGTCAAACAGACTAGTTCTCTCCCATTAACCTGTAATTGTCCGTACTCAGCACCTCTTTCAACTAATCCCACAATCCCCAAACGCAAACGAGGAAAACAAGGAAGACTGTATCGTTTGAAGTTTTTTGCTTTCGTTTCAGGCAATTTGTCTTCCAGTGACCGGTTCCTCAGCAATCAAATCATCTGTTGTTGCTTCTTTCTCGTATTTGGGTAGCCGCCACCTGCTGTTTCAACTCTTCAATCTTCCTGGCACTCCATCATCACTGGAGCAACATTCGAAGTCATCAGTTGCTTTGTGACTTTTGCCACTTCTTCAACGTCCATCCGCTGAGCTGCGTTAACTAGCTACAGCTGATAAGCGATAGCCGTATGGACGCATTTGATGAACTGGAAAGCTAGCAACTGCCCTCGAGAATCTTCGTCTAATGTGGGTAATGCGCATCGCAGAAGATTTGTTAGCGTCACTGCAAGAACCAACGGATCCCCGTCCCGAACAGGCCTCAGAGTCCGGAACTTCTGCAGTACCCCTTGTCTATCTGTGGGGCTGTCGAACTTGCAGACGAGCCTCTCGACGACTTTGTCACACGCCGCCTCATTAGCAATATCTGGGGGGCCATCGTAGGCGGCCTTCCCACAGCCTCTCAGCAGAGTCCCCAAGACGACCAGCTTCGCCCACTATTGTTGCACTCCAACCAGGTCCGGGAAGGTCTCGAAGTCCCTGAGGAATGTCCGAACCTATTCTTCTTCGGACATCCGGGGCCATTGCACCTTCGTCTCTGGCAGAGGCAGGCACACCAATTATAAGGAAGAAAAGACTGATCAGGCTCGAAGGAATGTTTACTAGGACAAACGAATTGTAGGCACATAAATGCTTTATTTCCACATCTTTTGGAAATTGGTCAAATATCAGCCCATTCGATAGCTTGTTGAGTTCTACATAGTGTTTGTAACGTTCTTTTCACAGTTCTCTTCTTCCATTGCTTTTTCCAGTTTCGGAAGCATATTTCTGCATTACCTGATCTCGTCACTGATATACTACTTATATCTGTCTATAAATAGCACTCACCACAATACTATTACCAATGAGAATGTGGCTTAATAGGGCCACGTACTGACGAAGCAGAATACAATTATCCGAACAAGGATCCTTCCTATACGCTAAAATATCATTAGGAGTAATGTATTAGTAGTTGTTGTTCAGACTGACCAATCAATTCGCCTGAATACAATAAACATGACATATAAATATAATATTCACAAAATAATGACAGCATAAATGCACAACCGACTTTTGTATGGTGAAAAATCCAAACTAGTCTCTTTGACTAAGAACTCAATACTGAATGGGGCCATTTGTTCACGTAGTATAAGAAGATGTTTAATGAGAAATAATTGTCCATCAAGTTCTGTCCGACGAAGGCTGATTGCATCGCTTGCTTTCACCAACGACTGAACGCACATTGACACACATTCTTGGGCTAAACCACGGAATGAGTCAGTCTATCAAAGAAATGAAACACATAAATTCAAAAAAAACTTTGAAATATATTTAACAGGAGTTGATGATCATGGATTAATTTACTTCGACCTAGTGGTCAGATGATAAGGTGTTCAGTTAAAACCTGGAGATCCTAGGCACAATGCTTTGTGGTGTAGACAAGTTACACAACCCAAGACTTGCATACGAGAACGAAACAAACTCTGAGTGGCTAACTGACTGACTGGTTTCAGCGTAGAACTTTGCCACGATACCCAGAAGTTCGAGCCGCCACACCTCATGCATTGTACCACACAAACTAAGAAACGACAGTCAAGGAAGATTCAAAACAGATATAATAAACACACACACACACATCAGGCAAAAAGAATAGTCATATCGAAAAACAATATTCTTTTATCGTTGGATATGATAAGTAAGTCACAAGGAGTGGATGCATCCGCGCTATTCACAACGACGATTTTCAGCCATATCACCAATTGTCTCCAGTCTTCATTGGGTCCCACCATCCCGATGACCACAACCAGCCAACTAGGAAGTCTACACCTCCCTACGTGGTTGACTGGCTGGCTGGCTGGCCTAAACTAACTGTGGTGCATTTCTTCATTGACTAATGAAGCCATGTTTTCCTTTGATTACCACCACTGGCACTTTTCCAACATGATCCATTCTATGTCAGCTAACATTTCCCGTTGAGGAAGGCGATGGATGGCTAGGCATACATAGCACATGTCCTCACCATCTCAATCGATGTAACTTCACAGACTCGTCGCCTGATTTCCCCTCCCATCTACCTATCACTCGACCGATGCCTAACCTCGGTATTGCTCACCCTATTATACCACTTCACACGAAAGATAGAAACCAGACACCCATGATCAAGGACAGCTAGCCAGGCTTTCACTGTCTTCCACTTTCAATGGCCAGGTGTCACAGCTGGCCATAAACGAGAACAGAGCGAACTGGTGAGCAGTACACGCGACCTTCGGTCGACAGCCAGCCGGATATCACGTCCACTAACCCAGAGACGGCGTAAACTGGCACATGCGAAACGAGCCCTCTGTATTCGTCCTGAGATTTAGTCAGCGATCAACCCACTGGCGATGGCTGATGAAACTCCACAAATAAGTGAAGTGGTCAACACTTTCTACCACTTCACTCCCTTTCTATCTTTAAGCTAGGAGTCAATGTAGCCCAGTCCAGTCCAGTCCAGTCCAGTCCAGTCCAGTCCAGCCCAGTCCTGTCCTGTCCTGTCCTGTAGCATCATCTTACATTTGACAGGAGCGAGTCGTATTCCCAAAATTCCAAGATGTTTCTTCATGGTGTTCAGAAGACTCTGCACTTTGTCAGCGTCTTCACCTAGCCGGACTACGTCATTCGCATATTATAAGTCGACGAGATTATACCCTAGTAACAAGTCAATCTCTGAGTCGCTGAACTTAGTTACGATTAAGTCCATTAATACATCTAGGATGAAATTAAATAGAAATGGGGAGAGTGGGCATCCCTGACAGACACCACTAGTTGTCACCACTTCAGATGACAACTTTCCTTAGGCACTTAGCTGGCTGCGTGAGTTTAATATGTTTGACCTGGTTAATGTAATATACCTTCTAGACACTCTATTCACGGCAAAACATTTCCGTAGTACCTTCCGGTCGACAGAATCGAATGTCACTTTCAGGTCGAAGAAATATGAGTACTTTTTATCAATAGCCTTTTATATGATGCTTATGTATTTTACTCCCAACAATGACATTGCAGATCAAATGAGATAAACATATCACTGATTTCAAAATAACACATCAATGAACTATAATCCAAGGACTCTGCACACAAAATGTATTGTACGAAAATTGACTTCAAGCTTTATTTTTTTTTCCCAGGCACTTATAACGCATCCACCAAAGACCTGGTTTTTTTGTTAATGCGAAGACAATACTTCTGTAATTCCTGATGTGTTGCACTCACTGACAATCTAGCGGATTTTTCCAACTATGCGCAGAAATGATTGTACATAAGTGAAAAGGATGTTTTATACTATTGGGATTAACATTTATCAAGTGTATGTATAATCTCCAGTGTACATGTTAAACATATTTTGCTATCGACTGTAAATTGTGACTGAATAATATGATCCTATTTCTGTAACAATTTGATGATGCCTGTAAACTGGCGTCTCATGTACTGTATCATGAATAAATTTTTTATTCCTAACTTCATGATGTGCTCCATTGAATGACTTGTTATATTGTGGAATAACTCAATTTTTCCCAAGTATTTTAATCCATCCAAAACATACTTGGGTTTTTTTGTTAATGCGAGTTAAATCCTTTGATGATGCCTGTAAACTGGCGTCTCTCATGTACAAAATGAGAAAAATGATGCCAATTTGCGACAAAAAAGCCACCAAGATACTAAAGAGAAGTCAACAGATATTGAGATAGAAGCTCATTTACAGAAACTACATAACTAAACACAATGACGTGATAATCCTGTCTCAGGAAAATAAACCAAAACAAAGGTATATCAATAATTCAGACCAAAAAAGTGAAACCAACACATGACTGAGAATATGTAGGACAGTTAAAAGCAAACAAGCAGCGATCATACATCTTTCACTATTACCACCACTACTCAGAACATAATAAACCGGTCTACACTTTGCAAAATGATTAATCCTGTATTAAAGTCAACAAACTAGGTAGCCATAAAATCGACATGAATGTAACGGTACATTACTGATCTCTTTATTATCCTAGAGAGAGAGAGTGAGTGAACTGACAGTTTAAGGCGTGTTACTAGGCTTTATAAATAAATTAGAGTAAACATTGTCGAAGTTTCAGTTCATTCATAAGCTCGTGTTTGAGTGCGACAGATACATTCTGGTTATTGTCAGACATCACTTATAAGATAACATTCTTCTTACATTGCTATGGGAGAAATTACCTAACAATACTGTTGACACCTGACTTGTTTTATAATCACTGCGACAGTGTAATGAAAGCCTGTCTTGCTTTTCCTATCCATGCTTTGATATCCTCGTCAGTTCCGCCTATAGTTGAAACGATGCTTCCCAGGTAGGTAGGTAGGTAGGTAGGTAGGTAGGTAGGTAGGTAGGTAGGTAGGTAGGTAGGTAGGTAGGTAGGTAGGTAGGTAGGTAGGTAGGTAGGTAGGTAGGTAGGTAGGTAGGTAGGTAGGTAGGTAGGTAGGTAGGTAGGTAGGTAGGTAGGTAGGTAGGTAGGTAGGTAGGTAGGTAGGTAGGTAGGTAGGTAGGTAGGTAGGTAGGTAGGTAGGTAGGTAGGTAGGTAGGTAGGTAGGTAGGTAGGTAGGTAGGTAGGTAGGTAGGTAGGTAGGTAGGTAGGTAGGTAGGTAGGTAGGTAGGTAGGTAGGTAGGTAGGTAGGTAGGTAGGTAGGTAGGTAGGTAGGTAGGTAGGTAGGTAGGTAGGTAGGTAGGTAGGTAGGTAGGTAGGTAGGTAGGTAGGTAGGTAGGTAGGTAGGTAGGTAGGTAGGTAGGTAGGTAGGTAGGTAGGTAGGTAGGTAGGTAGGTAGGTAGGTAGGTAGGTAGGTAGGTAGGTAGGTAGGTAGGTAGGTAGGTAGGTAGGTAGGTAGGTAGGTAGGTAGGTAGGTAGGTAGGTAGGTAGGTAGGTAGGTAGGTAGGTAGGTAGGTAGGTAGGTAGGTAGGTAGGTAGGTAGGTAGGTAGGTAGGTAGGTAGGTAGGTAGGTAGGTAGGTAGGTAGGTAGGTAGGTAGGTAGGTAGGTAGGTAGGTAGGTAGGTAGGTAGGTAGGTAGGTAGGTAGGTAGGTAGGTAGGTAGGTAGGTAGGTAGGTAGGTAGGTAGGTAGGTAGGTAGGTAGGTAGGTAGGTAGGTAGGTAGGTAGGTAGGTAGGTAGGTAGGTAGGTAGGTAGGTAGGTAGGTAGGTAGGTAGGTAGGTAGGTAGGTAGGTAGGTAGGTAGGTAGGTAGGTAGGTAGGTAGGTAGGTAGGTAGGTAGGTAGGTAGGTAGGTAGGTAGGTAGGTAGGTAGGTAGGTAGGTAGGTAGGTAGGTAGGTAGGTAGGTAGGTAGGTAGGTAGGTAGGTAGGTAGGTAGGTAGGTAGGTAGGTAGGTAGGTAGGTAGGTAGGTAGGTAGGTAGGTAGGTAGGTAGGTAGGTAGGTAGGTAGGTAGGTAGGTAGGTAGGTAGGTAGGTAGGTAGGTAGGTAGGTAGGTAGGTAGGTAGGTAGGTAGGTAGGTAGGTAGGTAGGTAGGTAGGTAGGTAGGTAGGTAGGTAGGTAGGTAGGTAGGTAGGTAGGTAGGTAGGTAGGTAGGTAGGTAGGTAGGTAGGTAGGTAGGTAGGTAGGTAGGTAGGTAGGTAGGTAGGTAGGTAGGTAGGTAGGTAGGTAGGTAGGTAGGTAGGTAGGTAGGTAGGTAGGTAGGTAGGTAGGTAGGTAGGTAGGTAGGTAGGTAGGTAGGTAGGTAGGTAGGTAGGTAGGTAGGTAGGTAGGTAGGTAGGTAGGTAGGTAGGTAGGTAGGTAGGTAGGTAGGTAGGTAGGTAGGTAGGTAGGTAGGTAGGTAGGTAGGTAGGTAGGTAGGTAGGTAGGTAGGTAGGTAGGTAGGTAGGTAGGTAGGTAGGTAGGTAGGTAGGTAGGTAGGTAGGTAGGTAGTAAACGAGGCTGTTTCTTTAAGTTTCCTCCCATTGATACTGGCTGATTATTGTCTGTTGTTGTTGCTGTTGTGTTGGCCAGGAATCCTTCATCACTCTGTTTTACCTATGTTCACTTGA